TCAAGGGCGGAGGTGGTTAACCTTGAGCCCTGCTGTTAACCAAGCACTTGTACTTGTACAGTGTGTTAAAGGGACAGATGACGGTGAATTAAACTGAATCTGACACTCCTCCAATCGCTTAATTTTTCTATTGAACACAAATGGGAGATTTCCATTTGGGGGAGAAGAAATAAGAAATAGTATTTTGTGCTTCCTTTTTCTATAAAAGCGGAAATCAATCTTATTTGTCAGATGTGCTGATCACTATGTAGTAGTTGCTGTGTGTGAGAAGATTTACTATGATTATCGTTATGGTAATCATTGCACTGGTCATTTATGTATTCACAGATATTGTACTTGTACCATTTACATATATTACATTTATGTTTCACAAAAGTACTAATAAGGATTCTTTTCAGAATGAGCTGTACATGCTGTACTGTGTGCCTTTGGGTTCATGGACTGAGATTGTACTCAGGATTTACTCTGATAAATGATAACATCCACAAAAGTCAAAGTATAGTAGTAGCGCACCACAGAAAGCATTTGTAACAGACATAAATAAGGTCACACTTATGAAGTCCATAAATGTTTTATGTTAAGTGTAAAAAGTGATTAAAAATTACATGACAACTTACATGAACACAAGAACCCAACTAACAGCAAGAACTGTTCAGTCATGTTTATTCTGTGAAATCGATTCTCTTTTGACAAAATTCTTTGATAAATGTAAATTAAATGCAAGCAAAACTCAGAATGTCATAGAAACTTGTTTTAGTTTTTGAAAAAAAGTGTATGGCAACAATCTTTCAGTTCATCATATAAAATATTTAATCTATCATTAAAACATATGGTTCTGAACATCTGTTGAGTCCTCAAAACATTTAATTGCAATAACTATTTGCATGATAATCTTCTGTTAAAAGCCGTAGTAATATTTGTAGCACTCATAGTAAAATTATGTAATAATAATAATAACATTTAATTTGTAGGTGTCTTTCAAGGCTCTTAAGGACACCTTCCATAGCAAAAAGGGGGTAAATAAGTAAAGCTTAAAATATTAAAAACAAATTCATTCAAAGGCATATAAACAGTTTGTCAAGAACCTTAACTTTTACGTTCATTGCGCAGATTTTTGTTAATATTCAGATATTCTCCTATAAATGATTTCAACCTGCAGACACTGTCATAGAAACAAGCCGTTGACTAAAAATAATTCCAGCACTCCAAAACCTTCACATTTTAAAACTGGAATTCATCTCTCAGGGTCTCCTCCCAGTACCTTTCCTCCCGTCCAGCGCTCGAAGCATTCCCTGATAGTAAAAGTCATCGGACGGGATTTGTTCTCTTTCTCCATCCAGACCATCTGTTGAGTATTCCCTGCGCCTCTGCTGAGCAGTATTCATCTCCTCTGATCCACGGCCACGCCACCAAACACACTTTATTTCTATCCCAGAAAGAACGCTCTACACAAGCTCTAGTTGAGATCTTAACTCCAAACGTCCATGAACCGCTTCAAAAAACTCTCCTCAATGCTACTGTGGGCTCCTCCTGGATCAGGGAAAGTGTGTGAGGAGGAAAGGTGTGTCGTGTGGCAAGCCTCATCTAGAAATTACACACACCCTCATCAAACACACACCACAGCATCACAATCTTCAAATAAAAAGCATGCCAATGTGAGTTGTGCAACTGAACCGCTGAATGGATCGGGTCATTTCAAAGAAAGTGGATTAAACAATCTGACTGTAAACCTACAGGACTCATGGCAACACAAACCTGCACAGCTTTGTTTCACATACCTGATACAGGAGAAAACTCAAGAAGGGAATCTCTTTAGATGGTTTCTTTTCAAATCTCAAACATGCTCGCACAAATCAATAATTATTTGCTGCAGTGATTATTAAACCTTTAGGATTATTAAACACATCATTTGTGTTTGCATATATATAAGCTCCAGGAAAATCCAAAAGGTCACAAAGCAACATTTTTCAGATCGTGAATTGATGCTTGATAGAGGTTCCTTGGGTTTCTTCCGGGTACTCCGGTTTGCCCCATGATCCCCAAAACATGCGTTAAGTTCATTGAATAATCTAAAAGGTTTAGCAATCCTTACTGTGATATTTGCATGCCAAACTCTGCATGGAAAATGTGCTTTACAAGTAGAAAAACAATATACAGTGGTACCCCAAGATACAATAAATAAATCCATTCCAGCGTGGCATTCGTATCTCAAACATTTCGTATCTCGAAGCAAGTTTTACAAGAAAAACGTCTAATCCGTGCAACGGCTCTGAGAAACAACAGTATAAGTTGATAAAAAAAATGGAAAACCAGAGAAAAATCAACATTTTTTTTCAATCCTTAAATCTACACCACATTGTTAATGTAATAAATGATAGTAAAACAGAATAAAACACCTGCAAAATACGTAATATGTACACAAATGTGAAACCTAACACTGAGAGTGAAGCAATGTGTCGGAGGAGGTGGAACGAATGGCAGAAAACATTACGGCACCACGTATGAAAGTTAACTTTCTCGAGATATTTCACAAATTACAACACAAACATGGTTTCAAACACAAGCGCAGAGAGTACTGAGTGTGTGTATAGGGATGGAGAGAGCCATCTTCACATTGTTCAAAACAATCTGTCACTTCAACTTAAAGAATAACAGTCTTAAGAGTTAATTCTATTGAACTGAACAGAAACTCCTCCCAATTGGATGCAAAGACAAGAAGAGATATCGTAGTTTTAGATCCGAAAGATGTGCCACTCATCGTTATGTCCAGGGGATTTAATAATAACTTTAAAAAGCATTGCATCAAGGCACTTTTTGCAAATGGAAAGAAATGAAGCTCTGTAGTCAATTTGATAATACAAACTAGTTCTAATTAAAATTCCTTGAACTGGAACCAAATAAACATTTTTATTCTTCATATTTCTACTCCCTCAGTGTGAAAGCAATTAGACCAGGTTGATTCAGACCAATCAGGTGAATTTGATGAATACTTACAGCACACCAGAAAACACTGGTCATCTTCTATGGAAACCTTAAAGTGAAATGTCTTTATTTATTATTATTTTTATTATATAAAAGTCATTTTACTTGACATGACTTGTAGAGTTAAAAAAAAACACTTTCATAAATTTCCATTTTGCCAGAAGTTTTGAGTGTTTTTCTTTAAGATGGGTAATCCAGTCTGATTCGGATCATTGTTTCTGGTGTAACTGTTGAATGTCATGCGGTGCAACTATTGTTTTTTTAATAAATATTTCATTTTGTACAAAAAATCCTCAAAAAAATTCTGATTTTATTTTGTCCACGTGCGACCTGCATCTGATTAGATCACTGCATTTTTTCAAATGCATCCCAGGAGGTTCAGAGATGGGCTGCTCGGGTTAAAACATGCTCCGTATAAAAAACTAGTTGAAGCAACCCATCGGTTGTTCAATCCTCAACAGCTATTATGCAAAACATGTGTATTCTCCAACTCTTTACTGGTATATAAAAATAAATCATATATGTGAGAGGAAAAAGGATACTCAATACATTTACAGCTCCTCATCCTTTGATGAGAGCTGTGTTATACTGTAATAACATTTAAGGTCTGAAATCAAGATAATTACGGTCAAATTCACAGAAGCAGGGTAAAGTTCAAGACTCTCAGTGCTGTAGATTATTGACAACACACATGAGATCATAAAGCTACAGAGGAATGTTTGGGCACCCCTGTAAATGTTCATGATTCTCCTTTATACATCATTGGTTCTCTGGATAAGTAATTTCAGTTAATATATAGTGGTGATGTTTAAGGAGTGAAAATATTATATCATGTTGATATTATTCATGCAAAGTGAGCAAAAAAAAATAAATTTGTCATGTGCAAAAAAGTAGGCATCACAAAAGAAAAAATGTGCACCTTTTCTAAACGCAAGCTCCCAGTGAAGTGTATGGACTATTCTTCTTTAGAAAACATCTCCATTTCAGTCATGATTTCCAAGCGTGGACAGCCTGCTTTAAATCACACAACAAATGTTCAACAATGTTCAGGTCTGGGGACTGATGAGGCCATTCTGGAATTCCGTAATTGTTCCTCCAGATTAGATTTTAAGCAGTGTTTAGGGTCTTTTTCTAGTTGAAAAATCCAGCACCTTCAACTTTGCCGCTTTATCTGAGATTTTTCATGGTCTACCACTTCATGTCTTAACTAGAACTGTGCTTCTGGTCTTCCAATTCCTCACAATGTTCCTCACAGTTGAAACTGAGAGCTTAAATCCCTGAAACAGTGTTCTGTAACCTTCTCCTAAACCACGGTGTTTAAAAATCATTTATTTCAGATTATCTGAGAGTTGTTTTGAGGTTCCCAACTACTTCCAATGGAGAAACACCCCCTTTAAATACTTTCTCCTGTGTACAGAGATCAAGGAGAACTTTTCATAAATCATATTAACTTTATTTCTCTTCTGAAATATCACAGTGTGTGTCTCATTTACGTCATAAGAAACTGCAATTTCCTATCCAGACGACCAATTATTTATTAAAGAAAATCCTTAAAACTTATAGGGGTGCCCAAACTTTTGCACACAGCTATAATCATCAAGATGTGACCACAGATGGATTGGTTACATGTTCAAACCTGAACAGTGTTTGTCTGACTGTCCCTTCCCTCTAGCGGATGTGGATGTCTACGCCTGGCTTTATAAACTCCTCATTATGTGCCAACACCCAAAACGATGTTCAAGAGTGCTCACAGGAAATCTACGGTCATTAACCCAGCGTTCACACTCTGAGTAATGATTATTGAAAGTCTCTCATTCACAAAAGAACCCTAAGTATGAATTTTAGGTTTATGTAATATCAAACAAAGTAAACAAATGTCTAATTCCTTAAGCTTTCATTTAGTGGACTTGAACTGCAATGATGTCTTCAAATAAAAATAAATAAATAAAATTAAAAAGCTTTTAGCAAATGAATTCATGATTTTGTGCAAAAATAACACTTATTTTATTCAATGTGATGGTTCTATGGTATAATGGTTAGCACTAAGGACTCTGAATCCAGTAACCCGAGTTCAAGTGTCGGTAGGTCCTTCTTTCTGCGATGGACTGGTGACCTGTCCAGGGTGTACCCCTGCCTCTCGCCCAATGTGCGCTGGAGATAGGCACCGGCAGACCCCCGTGACCCCAAAAGGGAATAAGCGGGTTGGAAAATGAATGAATGAATGAATAATTCAATGTGTTGCATCTTACAAGCTGCTCAATGCATCTGATCATATCTGATTCTAAATACAAAGCTATTTATTGTATAATTTTAATAAAACAAATATTCACGCTGAAGTATAACAAACTGAACACGTTTAATTTTTTGCAACTTTTTTTCACAATTTTTTAATAACTATATAAAATAAATTTGTAGATATTTTAAAATATTATTGGTGAAACTGGGATATTTACATAGAAATAAATATATTTTAAAAATTAATACAATTCTACTGTGAATCATAATTGAAGCATTAAGGTGAGATATATTTAAAAAAAAAACAGTAAATATACTTATTAAATATCACAAATTATTATTATACTTGAAGAGTTTTGTCCCAAAACATTTTAAAACTTTTGGCCTCTTATCAAAGTCCTGTCACTGTCTTTGCCAAAACTTGCCAAAACTTGCTTTAACTACTTTATTTTGCAAGAAGTACCAACCAGCCAAACACGATAAAACCCTTTGCCCCGTCTGGAAGCATCTCCAGGATTTCATTATCCTTTTTAAGCAATTTAAAATGAAATTTTTTTAAATGAAAAGCTTGTTTTGTCTGTGTGGAAGAAGCAAAAGCAATGCAAAGACAGCAACAACAGAAACGTGTTAAATGATCTTGCAGCACTTCATCTTTGTTTCATTTATAATATTCACTTTTACTTTAAGTAAAGTAAAATTAAATTAAAAAGTGGATTGGATTTTTTGGATGTTATTAGGATCTCTAACAGTTTGAAACAGAAATAAAAGGTTTCCATTCAAACCATTCAAAAAGTAACATTTATTGACACTTAAGTCAGTGGCTGTATTCCTGTAGATAGAGGATGTGTTGAGAGGTAATTACAGAGATTGCAGACTCCTTAAATTCCTGTTTGAGGCGTGATCAGACCCAGTCAGACGCCCAAGCGCCTCCTGGGCGCAAGCTCGAGCGTGTTCAGGGATTTCTATCACACGCGCAGACATGAGGAATGAGAAATCTGTGCTCTTTTATTCTTTGATTGAAAGGAGTTTTTGTTAGTTTGAATTTCCTTGTATTGCCTTGAATAGGTCTGTGAGAAACCAAGCTCTTGAATCAGCTCAATCGACTATGATAAGCCAGTGATGAATGTGCTCATTTTGGCTCTTCTGTTTTTTTCCCTCCATGGTTTCTCGAGATCAAGAACCCAGTAATCACACTCTACAGTGATCGTTTTGATAACTCATTAACGGAAACAATAACACAACTTTCTCAATCGTCTAGGGCTATCTAGGTTTATGCCTTTGTCATGTGATGACTAGATTTCTGCAACTTAAAAAATCCTCCATTAATTGCAACTTGTACAAAATTCTGCAGCAATGATCGTCACTCCCCATGCATGTTCTGATCACATGACCCCTGTGCTTAAACAGTTACACTAGCTCCCTGTTGAGTATTGTATTTCATTACACAATAATTTCACAACAAACCTGAAATTTTACAAAAAGCACAATTCTGAGTACTAAAGGTATTCATTTACCAAACACTTTTAAATTGTTTATACTCAAGCACTTTTTGTTTCATTGTGCTTTGATTTGTGGCAGATTTTTGAAAAACACAAGCCCATGTGACAAGTCTTGTACTTTATTTGGTCTACCCTTAAATGTTGGATATGCCATTCTCTTAATTTTATTAATCACATGAGTGTTGTACAATTAAAAAATAGAAATAACTGTATTATTAAACTAACAATTAAATTAATATATATATATATATATATATATATATATATATATATATATATATATATATATATATATATATATATATATATATATATAGTTTAATTTAATCATTCATTCTACAAATAAAAAAGAAAATACATTATAAAATAGGAGTAAGGAAATGAGTAAAAAAGTACATTTATCTGAACATTCATTCAATAATTAAGAATATAAATAAACACCTCAAAAGAAATGTGCTGATTTGTTTAATTAATCAGAATTTTATAACTGGGTAAGATGAAATACCGGTAAATGACTTTAAAAAATGAAAATAAAATGTAGATAAATATGATTTAATCACATACATTTCAAAGAATGAATAAATATTTAATTAATATAAATTGGTGGTGGTATGTTGACTAAAGCTTGTAACGGCAATGGGATATGTTTCACAAAAATCATTTGTGAAATAAAGATTTCACCATCACACCCAGTCCGCCCCAACCCAGAACAGCATGATCTCCGTGCCGTCTCTCCTTATACAAGATTCAACACGTGTCTTTCCATTGGCACATCACTTACCACAGAGTGAACATTTGCAATTGAAATACTGTGCACCGCATTAAAGGAGCCGTTCACACGAAACAAAATCACTTGTGCTGCTCTGAAAACTCTGCATGACTTCAAACAGATGCTGTTCAACCCTTTCTTTTTACAATGTTCAGTTGTGTTCATCCATGGATTTAAATGTTGTAGATGACATCAACATGTTCATCTGCTTTTGGGATTAAAAATATCTCTTGTTTTATGATATAAGCATTCACAAAATTGAGTCATGAACTTTTGAATCAGAACTGAATCGATTCAGGAAACTGGCTGCACTACCCAGCCCCAGCTCGCATTACAATATTTCAGTCACACGATAACTTTCTCCTCTCTGAGACGCTGATGGAGCAGAAGGAAGATCTGCTGGACCACACAGACACTGCAGACATCTGAGAAGAGCTGTGTGAACACACCACAATCATAGCAACTGACGAGAACACACAAACACACAATCTCTTAGTCAAGTGTGTATTTATAGTCCGGGTGTAATTGAGGGAAACAGCTGACTGCAGATATCCGGAAATAACATCACTAAACTAAAATAACACTTTGTTTAAATCCCCCTCCAATCACAAATCTGAAGATCAGCATCAACTTCAGGACTTCCAGCCTCCAGAACATTCTAATGATTATGCCATTCGCATTAGATCAAGCATACTCCATCAATAATTATGAAAGTATTGGAGATAATTTAAATGTTTACAGTGTATTGCAGTGTTTTCAAACTTGGTAAATCCACTTCCGCTTTCACATCTTGACCTCTCCCAATGTTTGCCTTAACCAGGAGATACTCCTATTATGCTCAGATGGTGTTTGAAGAGGGAGAGTGTGTTCTCTCTTTTGATTGGTCAAATTGGGTGCTAATCAGGGTCAAGTAGGGCACACAGCATCACAAGCTTTGTTTCACGTTGATGGAATGGAGTTGTACAACAGGTCCACACACACAAAGCTCCGTTCACAACCAGAGACATGCCACAGTTCAATTACAGCTAACTGAGTATCAACCAAGCGGCAACTTCTCTCTATCTTTTCTGACGCGAAGTGACTGAAAATGTAATGCCTCGACTGACCACTAGAGGCTGGTATTAAAAGTGAGCGGATTCTTATTATTGACACCCATGCTACACAAACTTTACAGCTGAAAAACCTGTTAAATTGTTTTTTTTCTTTCCTTTCACTAATTGTAATTAGTACTTTTTAATTCTTAATTTTTTTGTACTTACTACACAGTCAATTTAGCAGTGTCAATACAACACTTAAAGTGTTCATTTTAACACTGCTGAGATCATATATGGTCCCAATCTATCAGGTGTAAAAAGTACAATGATGAATTTAGAGTGCTAAAATGGCACTTCAGAGTGCTAACAAATAACACTTGGGTCATACGGTATTACACTTCAACAAACAAAATAGTTGTTGTGGGCGGAGTCATGATTTTTGCACACTTTTGTAGCACTTTCAGGTGTTTTATACCTCCTTTTTTACGCTGGTTATTTTACTATGTAGTTTTAATTGGATTAAGCCTTATTAAGGTAAGCATTATTAAGGGTGCAGTTTCTTGAGTGACAGCATCTTAAAAATGCCCACATCCCACCCTGGTTCACCCCTTGCCCATTTTTCACTCTCCATCAGTGACATTTAGCCAACAAAAAGTGATTCATTTTCTGCAACTATTTACCTTCTGCTGAAACCTATGAGTGATGTCACACATGCTACGTCCTGTTAAATACAGTTGTCCTCATAAGCTTACACACCTCATAATTATTAATACAAAAAATGTTTCTGAGTTTCTAGGCTCCTAATAGGACACTGGAAGAAAATGTGCACTCATCAGCACAGAAGCTGAGCATGATACATTACTTGACATTCTTACACAACAACAATCCTGTTGTCGAGGGTTACACAAGTGAAGGTGCTGGAGAGACCAGTCTCCTGACCTCAACATCATTAAAACACTCAGAACTCAAACGTGCAGTTCATGCAAAAATTTACCAGAGTTGGAGCCCTTTTGGGAAGAATAATATAAAGAACCTCATCAACAACTACCTCAGGAGACTTCAGGCTGTCATTTATGTTAAGGAATGCAAAATATTAAGAGCTGGAGTGTGTAAACTTTCTATCCGTTGTTTGAAAATGAAAGGCTTTACCCAAGCACTAACTATGAGTGGACAAAATATTTAGTGTCCTCATTAAAACTTTCTGAAAATGGCCAAGAAATCAGAAAATTTGTAAACTTATGAGCACAACTGTACAATCTATGGTAGCAATGGACCATGAGTCAACCAAGCGAAGAAAGATATTTTGTAAATTAAATAGTGCTAAAATTTAGCAAATATATATAGTTTTTTTCTCATTTTTAATTTTGCAGTTCTTTTGCAAAACTCTCTCTTTTTTTGCGACTTATCAAAACCCCCCAATTGATTCCATCACACAATGATTACTGTATGAGAAATGGCGCTAAAAGAAGGTCTGGAATGTTTGCATTCATGCTTTCGCAGCCAGTGCAGGACATATTCCAACAGTTCTTGCTGAAAAACAGCACACAATCTGA